GGATCAAGTCAGGAAGTCAGATTTGTCAACAGATCAGTCATGATTCTTGTGAGGAGGGGGATATGTCTTGCTATGTTAAAGGAACAACGTCCACCAAACGTACGATACACAAGTTTGGAGGACATAAATGCCAAATGTCATGAAGACCAGATCAGCTGTATCAGACACAGATCATGTCACTAGCCGCGTAAAATCAGATGTTTTTTTTTTTTTTAAAGGAACAACATACATCTACAGACGACGTGAGCAGAATCGTTTCCTGTGCAAAACTTCGACCTGGTTATTCTGCCTAGTCCTGTCTACAAACGCAGCGACCTTGGACTTTGCAGGGACTTGGAGAGTAACTGTCCCTGCGTTCTCGGTTGGGATTCTCTTGATGAAAAACTACACATTATTTAAAAAGTGTGACACTTCTACAGCAAGACTATTAGGAAGCAAATTACACAGAAAACTGAAATCTCAAAGAGGTAGTGTCATAGCACATAGACTCAGCAACCAGGCGCCAAGAATAAAGGTTCAAGATACTAAAATTATAATACCAGAAGAATGACAAATCTGCATGAAGCTCTGGGTGCAGTTAAGGGTCAGCTGCTGATGAGAGGGAAGTCATGGATGGCTCATGCAGAAGACCCAACCAGACAAGGTCGCATCCTTGAGAACATTAGGCGTGGAGAGGAGTGGGTCAAAGTGCCACCTGAACAGTCAGACTTGTGTAGGGTCATAATCACGCTGAGTCGGGATTGCAGAGACTGACCAGCAGGTGCCACGGAGGTGGAAATTCAGCAATTAATTAAAGATAATACTCGCTCAGAGGATTTTATCATTTACACAGACGGTTCAGTGTCACTAGTCAAAAGAAGAGCTCGGGGCTTCTTAGCAAAAGTTAATGTTCGACCTTTGGTGCAGGCGAGCCTAGCATATGATACCACAACATCCAGCTTAAGAAACGAGGTGGAGGCGGTCACTGCAGCTTTCCGCTGGCTAGAGAACAAGACACACACAAACACACACACACACACACACACACACACACACACACACACATCGTGATTGTAACTAACTCAGAAAGCATGCTGAGGAAGATCAGAACAGGTATGCAACAGGTATGCCTTGTGCAGAGTGGCATGCTTCGCTGCGGAGAACATGGGTGAGGAGTATTTTCTGGATTTTTTCACTGGGGCACGCCGGTGTGTTGGGAAATGAACAGGCGGACAGACTGGCTGGCTCTGCACAACTTGGTGTAATACTGATACATGATAAGGCAGACGACCTGGTTAGGGCCTTGTGGGAGAGCGTGTACATTTCAGAGGAGCAGATTGATCACCACAGTCTGGTGAGATTGATGTATTTGGGAGTGACGAGAGGTTCTGGCAGATGCTCGAGGCTCAGAGGACAGGCAAGACGGACATTTAATCAGAAAGCTACTGGCACCATTAGTATCGGAGCTCTTCGCTGGCTGCTGAAGATGGGGACGGAGCGCTTATGGGAATGCCCCGAGTGCTGTGATATCGGTTCTTGAATCAAATCAAATCAAAACACAACTGAACACGTCGCCTACACAATACGTGTGCTAAATACATTTATCAGAGGGACATACATAACTACACACTGGTAGTGAGATTTTCAACCAACATAGCCAGGTCTGAGGAACATATTAAATTAAGTGCGACCATGGACCATTTCACGGCTGACGTCTCTTGTGACTCTTGTTTGGGTTATTCTAATTCAACTTTTTTAAATACATCTTCCATCTGATGGTGCACAGCTATTAAACGTATCAACTTGCTTGAGGACTTTACCATTAACAATGATTCTGCATTTTCGAAGGTCCAATCTCTTTGTAATTAATAACATAACACTTTTTTTTTGGCTGCTATTCAAACTAAGACCGTTGTTTCGACTTTCTGTTAAATTATGTCAATTATTTCTTGCAGATATACTTCATATCACACGTTGTTTACAACATACCCACCAACCACTATCTCTAGCATACTATCTAAATATTATTTCATTGTACAAATTGAATAAATCAAATGATTATATACATCTATGTCTAATGCCTTGTTTGATGTTTAAAAAAAAAAAAACTCCAACATGGTTGTCAATTCTTATGAGTGCTTCTTGTAACCAGTACTGTATATGTTTTGAATTCTCAGTGACATTAAAACTAATGAGGGCAAAATAATTAACAAAAGAGATGAGCTGTTTTAGTGCTGCCTGAGTAACTGGAGGAGATATTAATTAAAATGAAGAAGTAAAATATGACAAATCATAGTATATTTCATTTTTAAATACAGCAAGATGCGAAAAGGACTGGCCGTTTACTGAGAATGTTCTTGTAACAACTGTCATAGAGAGCCATACTGGAACAATATAATAGACACAGCAAGGGGAATACCTCACAAAAAATAGAAGGATGGCATCAAGAACAGCCTCAGAGAATGAAGAACAATTTATTTAATGGATTACAAAGAGTACCACGAGGGTCTGTACACTTCTCCCAACACTTCTAATGACGTGGAGAAGGTAAAGAAAAAGCAGTAATGTGAATTTATTTCTAAAACTTTAAAAGATTACTGAAAGAAAGAACTGCATAATGCGATCAGACCACATAGACAGATGAAATGAATCTGCTGAGGTTATTTTTAATCAGTTTGACTTTCGTTTGTGATCTGATGAATCTCACACTGCTTTATATTCCTTCTGCAGCAAAACAATTCGCCTGTGTCGCATCGGTTTATTGTGGGAACTATGATAAAGAACTGTGCTTTTTTTTTCCTTCCCCCATTAACCTTAATCTAAGCTTTCGAATAATCTTTCTCTATCATCCTAATGTATCTCCATCGCCCATCTTAACCGACACAACTTTACCTTCAAAATCACCAATCGAAAAAGTAATATTAGCATTTTAAATACTTTGAAGTTAAAAAAAAAAAAAAATTTCAACAATAACTTCTTTAATATCTTATTCGTACTATTTGTTACTAAGTATAAGATCAGATTCGTTATAATTTTTAACATAGTTTAGTTTTGAATGTGCTTGAAGCACTCCGGAAGGCAGTGCATTTACTGCCTTCGTTAGATAGCATCAGGGGCAGTCCTTCACTATAATACACAAACACACACGCTTGTGTGTGTGTGTGTGTGTGTGTGTGTGTGTGTGTGTGTGTGTGTGTGTGTGTGTGTGTAACAGGCTGGTGGGATATGTTAAACTGTTAATAATTTTGAGTTGGCTGCACTTTGCTGACTAAAACTGGCAGGTTTGCAGATTGGGACTCACTAGGAACTTCCAGATGGGGCCAGTGTGTGGAAATGTTAAAAATAAGGCGCGACCCAAACAAAAACAAAAATCAACCTCTCTTTGGATTTTAGCTCTGCAGCGGTGAGTCGACCACAGGGTTCTTAGCGCAAACGTAGGTTCAAAGGGACTGTGTCGAGAGTTGGACTGGGACTCTGGTATCGTGTTGTGACGGTACGTTCAGTAGATAGATTATGTTAGATCTAGATTTCCATTGTGCATCCTCTCTGGACGACTATGATAGTATGTAGAGAAGGTGAACTTTCATCTTTGTTATCTGAAGTGATTAGCACATGGTCTGTTCGAACACGTTTTTGATTGTTTACATATGGTTTTTTTTTTTTTTTTTGCGAAGCACTTTTTTTTTTTTTTTTTATTAAGGAAAATAAACAGATCCTAAATGTAATGATTACATTGTATTTGTTCAGAATAGGACTAGTAGTTCGTGCATGTTGTCTAGAGCTACCTGTGTAGCTATATGTTGTTGTTGTGCAATTCACTATTCACATATTCATCGCCTGAAGCATGAATAACATTTAACGCTTTCTGCACCAAAAGAAACATTGTCTTTCCCTTTTTGTCTTTTGTTTGTTTAGACCAGCGAGGAACTGCCTGTTGTCCTGACCATACATTCTTCTCTCGCCGCCCTCCTTGTTTTTCCTCTTTTTTTTTTTTTTTGCAGCCCGCTAGCTCATGACACTTTAACGCGAGGTTAAAAGAATTTAGCTGCTACATTCAATCTTTAGATAAATTAGAACTGTTCATCTGGTTATTGGTTTCCTCCTTCCATGTCTACTGTCCTTCCCAAGTCTTATGCAATTGAAATAATACTGGTTCTAATTCTTGAGATTTTTATAGAAAAACAAAAGTTTCCTATCCAGACGCATTTTCTCCGTATCATTGTACACTTGAAGAAAAAAAAAATGCCTCTCTAATCTTAGTAAGCTAATTAATTAATGTAGTCATTGATTATCTTTATCTCTGAACGGAAAAACCAAACTATTTCAACCGCGTTTAACTTGCAGAGCAACGCCTTGGTAGTTTACCGGCAGTGACCGCCAACCCTAAGGATAACCCTGTCATTAGTCGCCACTTACGACATGACTGGCAGGTACAGTGTTACTAACCTTTGCAACTCCCTAAAGGAAGAGATAAAATAAGGGCCTATTGCGGACTCCGTATACGGTGAAGTAAACAGAAGGGACCGTTTCGATACATACAGGTCAATTTAGAATATAAATTGTTTCTACACATTTTAGGGACACGTTAGTCCTCGGCATGTTGTGTCAATATCCTGCAGGTCGCATTTACTTTCCTTTTACATTTTCCGGTACTCATTTCAGGCTGGATCGACAGGAGAGCCTAGGTCATTTTTGGAGAATCAGTTCTGAGGAAATTGGAACCTATGACCGCCGGTGTGTCATTGATAGTTTAGGATAAAAATGATAGAAGATAAGTACGTTGGTTTTACTGTAGATAATGACTTTTGTATTATAAGTTGCTTGTTACTCAATGAGAGATGAAAGCTAAGCGTGCATTATTTAAAATACTGTTTAACATATATCAAAGCTGCTTGAAACAGAACGCCATGAGCCAAATTTCAAACTGAACATTACAAGAAGTTGTTTGAACAAAATGGCATGTCCTTTTATTACACTAGGTACACATTTGCAGCAACATAGAGTTGACAGCCATGCTGGACTCAGAACTTGACCACTGACCGAATCCAGGATCGCACTTTCTGTATGTCCGTGTATAATGCAGGGGTGCCAGCCTGGGCACATGGTGTAGCGCCTGAAGAGATGACGCCCATGAGATACTGGATGTCTGTTTGCGAGGACCTGGCGAGGCTTGGACCAGTCATGCTGCACATCATGGGTCCTCCAGAGTCGCCCTAAATCAGAACCATTAATCACGCCATGAGTCTGGTGTATTACACAAACATTGCTGTCGTTATCTAACAGGTTGTCATACCTGGACATTAATACGGTATTTTGACGCTCTGTGACAAGAGAAATGGACAATAGCAAAAGAGGCAGGAGAAGACTATGAGACAGGATGTTAGACAGTTTGTCATGATGGCTGTAAGGAACATCTGTATCACAAATGAGTGGTAGTACATGAGGTAGAAAACGTGCGACTGACATCACGATTAACACAAACGGTATGGCTTTCAAGAAGAACAAATTGTGTGTCATTGTGCCAGATTTTTTAAAGTTAAATGCCTTAGTATTTACCTGTATATAAAAAAGAAAAAGAATACTTAGAATAAAATAGATGAATATTTTATTGAAATTTCTATAACAATCAGGTCAAGTAGACAGTTACGAAAATGCAATGAATATCGTAGATTAGTAACCTAGAGATAAGTGAATTCGTTAATAAATGCAATCACCAGCGTTCTATTTCCACTTGGGACAATGATACACGACTCTCACTGTAGAGGAGTTTGAGACCTCTTTGTGCAATAGTGTCACATTCAAACCCTAGCCAAAGGCATCAACGACTGACAGTGTTTCAGAACCATGGCGTTGACGACGCCAGCCTAGTCAGATCTTATATGGCATGACCTCATTTGGCCAAATATGAATGTAAGTTCAAAAGCCAACAGATCGTAGCTAGTTAAAACATGCTTTAAAAGACACTGTATCAATAGTTACGACTGATAAGCTTACGTTTGAAAGTTTCATAAAACAAATCCCTTTGTACTAGAAATTAAAATATTCCTTAAACAACTGATTAATATCTCGTTTTACATCAAATCCTAGCAAACACAATGGCAACCAATTTGAAGTAATGTAAAGAAGATTAGTAATGTTTAGTAAATAAGTTGACCATAGCCGCGTTCCATATTTAACTTACCACACACGAGTCGTTGTTTCCCGTGAGATCGCCAGCACAGATCTGAGAATGGCCGTTAAACAGGTTCCCAAACTTTGCCTTGCAAGACGACTCGTTCAGTACGCGTATCTTGGTTTTCATCAGGAATGGCGAGGACACAGCTGGCGTATCTTTACAGAAAAGTCGAGTAAACAAAAGAGTTAACTCCTTGTTGCCTGTATTACTGTTATACTAATATTGTTAACATGAAGGAATTGGTAAGTTTTCCAGACTCATCTGCCCATATAACTCACAGATGACATGAGCAGAATAAAAACGATGCTCGAAAGCATAGGCTCGATTTATTAGTAACTTAATCAACACAATATTGTTAAGACAAAACCGATTATAAAATGCGGAGAGACATCGAGAGAGACGATAGTGCTTTGCAGACACATCATCTGCATCCGGTAAATGTCCTGACAACTGTACACGTGTAACAGAGTCAATGTACCGACTCTATCACTATAAGTGGTTGTAACCACATCTCCTGTGCTCCACACTCATTCATTCAGAAGGAGGAATGGAACCCCACTCCTAACAAGTAGATAAAACCCTTGTTTACAAAGGCCAGGTGAACACAAGTTTACAAGACACTCGCTTAATAATTCCTCCAGATACTTTATATCTCCCAGCTATTATTCAAGGTAATAGTTGTAAAGTATTAGAAGTCCTAGGTCGAGTAACATGTTGTGTTAGTCTCCTAGACGATTATCGAGGCAATCGTGCAAACGAGTGGTCAAGTCGAAATTGCCAGTTGTCACCAGCGCTGAAAGATTTCTCAGTGTAATTAAGTAATCTCGGAAAACAATAGATTCGATTGACTCCGTCAGGCAAGTGACACCATCTGCTGTGTGTGACATGTTTTGTCACTTTATTGTCAGATAAAATGGCTGAATTCAATCACATATTAGATCTCTAGACACAAACTAATTAAGTTGAATTTCGTTTGGCTCCTGCCTGAAAACAACATAACTAATTATTCCAGAATCAGGAGAAAAGCAGGAACCAATTATTCCAGAGTCAGGAGAAAAACAGAAACAGACTAGTAAGTAAATGGATACATGTACATATAAATTACAGTTGTCAGTTATCAAACATAGCAACAGGAAGATACATACGATCTTGCAGTAGTTTGCAAGAGACAGTTTACCGGACACCGACGTAGACGATTAATTCCGAAAAATGTATCAGGCCAGTGTATCATAGTGTATGGCTTGGCAGACAGACAACCGACGTTAGACTAAGAATTTGATGTAAATAAAAGATTTTAGGAGGCATATTCTGTTAGAGCAAACTACAAAGAAAACTGGAAACTTATGGAAAGACGAACAGCTAGTCAAAGTAGGCCAAACGTCACTCACGCCCTATAGCCATACTGAAGAGATTCTTTAGAAAAAAGACCACTTGACGATTTTTTTTAATGTGTATTGTAGCTTTAGCGGAGGAGGAACTGTTTTGTTATATTAGGCCCTATTGTTTATAGAGGTAGTGGACACATCAGTAAAGCAACAGCATGCAGGATGCTCAGAATTAAAGGTGCCAATTTTGTTCATTTTGATTTGTCAGTCTTATAAGTGAAGACCTAAGATTCAAGAGGATATGAACAATAGGAATTAACCATGTGTGTTATGCTGCATGATTATGCATATTCAAGAAGACTGAATAAATAAACATTAACTAATTAATTCCGATGTGTATCACGGCTTGATTTTATGTGATGATCAGAACCACATAAATTCGGTCAAATGGAATGATCCAGATAAGGGGCACTCATGGCTGGTTGAGCGTGACTGTTCGAACCTACGGTCATGTATAGTGCTTTACGAGATCTCCTGACACGTTCACTCTGTACGTCAGTGGAATATGCCCTTCTACTAAAGGGATATGGAGGAAAGAAAAAGCAATCATAAACAGCTCTCTGTGTTGTATTGCCTAACGTAGGAGACAATGACTGTACTTACTTCTGATTTATGTATCAGAAATGATTGACAGTACACGAGACATAAGGGGGACAATCATTACCAAAGCTTGTGGGAGCTATGTGGAGGTTTATGTTTAACGTTTTCAAACGTTTCCTGCTTCCATTAGTAAAATCGCTGTGTATTTGTGTGTGTTTATTTGTGTGTGTGTGTGTGTGGGTGGGAGTCAAGACCATTCTTATGTAGAAAGGGAATGATCTTTATCTAGTACTCAACTTTTACACCAACCTTTAAAAAAAATGTGTCGAAAGCAATTAGTCAGTTGAACGTAAATTGTGTGTGAACACTCAGAAGAAAGGAATAGAGGGAAAATAAAATACGCACAGTACACATGGAACCCAGAAGTGAGCCGAGATTCAAAAGGTTACAAATACAGAAATGCTGGAAACAACTCATATGTAGAACAATGGAATGTCTTGCTCCAATCAGCCCCTGAGTACGATGACAGGAAGTTGAGGCACACCTTCTAACTAGATATAAATCGGATGAAATTAATTACTTACTGATATGATGTAGTGAGTCATTTTCTCCTCATTAATTTATGCCCGATAGATGACGTCAGTAATAGATGTAAGACGAATGTTTTGACTGGCTGAAATAACACGAGATTTATGTCTTGAGTTTCATGAGAGACATCTGAAAGTCAGGTTTTATGTGAAACATGATTGTTCACAGGATTTGTGTGAAATGTGAATTATCACGGGCCAGACACGACTTTCAACAGTGGGAAATTCGTGAGAATGAATCCAGAATATTCTAGAACAGGATAGATCAGAGGGCTATATAATAGCGAAGAAAAGGTTTGTGAGCAGTCTCGTTTTGGACCTAGGAACAGTGTGCATGGACAGCGGTGGATGATGTGTGGATTCAGCAGATGTTTTTGTGAGTGAATTTGTTCCAGTCCAACTTGGCGAAAAAAGCTGGCCAGTAATATGTCTGCGGGTCGTCTGAGTTTGTCTGTCAGGACAGCTGCTGTGTTTCGTTCAAGATGTTAGTGTGATTGTGATTTCTGCTTGAAGGTAATAGTTGACACTTGCATTATAATGTGTGCCTGGACAGTTGTCTAGTTCATGTGCCGGCAGTGTAAGCCGCGAGTGGAAGATTAAAGTACTGGAACAGTATCGTGTTGTTTTCCAGTCGTCCATTTTTTCTGCTCGTCGAGTGATGTCGGTTTGTGAGATGGCAGCGAGCGTGCGATGAGGCGAGCCAGTAGAAGATAAAAGAGAATCATCGCAAAATGGGGAACTCGTCCAAACATTTGAGGATAGGAAAGTTGTTTCGTACAGAAAAATCTGAGACATCGAAAGGTGTTTAGTTATCAACCTGACGTCAGGTAGTACCAGTTCAACATACGAACGTAAGCGGGGAAGATCGATGGCGAAATAACAACAACCCATATTCGATAGTTCACAGATTGAACAACGTTCGGACAAATTCCAGGCTTTGAATACTGATAGACAAGTCCACGTTTTAAGTTTCGACCAAGTAATTAACAATCAACTAAGATGCGAAGGAAAGATTGCAGACAGTGACAGTGTCAAAGAGCATTCATTAATTGTAGCAAAGGAATACAACCGTAAGTCTACACAGAGATGATGTGAGACTAGGGCTGCCCTCTGCAAAACTTCCGAAGCCTTGTTGTTTGATCAAATTTCGCTGCCGACTAAAGTGTGGTAAAGTGTAGTGGGAAATCTACACTGAACAACACAGAGAAGCGTCGACACCAGATCCTGTTTTTCGGATCTGTTTTTTCAAAACATAAAAAGACAGTGAAACACCGGGTAGAGTGTTAACTGTACAGAAAGCAAAAGAACCACAGCTCTGACACTGGGTGTTGTGTCGCAGCTCTACATTTTCAGCCGTGGCAAACCATTTAATAGGAAACTACAGTATGACAAGTCTACAAAACCTCAAGATCAGCACTCATTGATGTCTCGTGATCAATAATGCTTCAAGTTCATCGTGTAATCGCACATATCACAAGAAAGCGATAACAATAAAGCTTTCCTACGTCCTAAACACATTCAGTCGACAGGAAAAGCATCAAATTGGTCGGTGCAAATCTAAGTATTGATTGAAGTGTGTAGCAGTAGCTAGCAGTGAACTATTTGTCTACAATTAACAATGTACTATTGAAGTGTGTAGCTAGCAGTGAACTATTTTATGGTCTACAGTTAACAAGGTACTATTGAAGTGTGTAGCTACCAGTTGAACTACTCAATGATAAATATCCAGTTTATGAAACCGATAGTACAGTGAACAGTACCACAAACAGTATACAGTTTCTGTAATAAATGCTTCACTGAACAATTCCTTAATTAGTGTGCATTCAATGCCGAAATTACTAGTGTGAGCAGATAAACTGTGCGGTCTTAATTAGTTTCAGTGCCCAGATTTCAATTAACCATATCAAATTATCATTTCTTTAGTATTTAAAAGTAGCAGTAGCATATTCAACAGACAAACTTCAACGAAACAACCTTCAAGAAAGCAACAGCCATCGCAGAACCAGCTTCAGGTCAACGTCAGGACAGTCAACTAGATCAGCACAACAATATACATTGATTATTAATTTTATTTTTGATTTATTTTTCTGGTGATTCAGTTATTTATTATAATTATTAATATTATTTATTTATAATTTACATTGGTGCAGTCATTGACATTTATTTTATTTATTTATAATTTACATTGGTGCATTCATTGACATTTATTTTATTTATTTATAATTTACATTGGTGCATTCATTGACATTTATTTTATTTATTTATAATTTACATTGGTGCATTCATTGACATTTATTTTATTATATCGGTGCATTCATTGACATCTACTTTATTTATTAATATTGTTACATTGGTGTTTTTGATATTATTTTGTATTTTCCTACTATTCTTTACATTATTTCTTTTTATTTATAAATATTGGCAAATTGTATTGAAATTCTATATTTTTTTAATTTCTTCATTTACAAAGTTGTGGGTGTTATATTACACAGAAGTTCAGTACCACCATCATCAGGAAGTGCCATAATTAATCATATACACATCATCATTATCAAGTGTCAAAGTTATTTCAATTTGAGTTTAACATTTGATCTACCCATTCACATTTGATCATCATCAAGTATAATCACTAAAACAAAAGTA